AATGGGGTCCGTGGTCTAATTTCTGTCTGTTAGGGCTCCTTGACAAGAAAATTTTGAGAACCACTGGGTTTAGGGCAGGGGGAAGGTACGCATATAAAATTTAAATGGTTTGATTTTATAACATGACTAGTGTATTTGCTTTGCTGCTGGAAAGCGGAGCCTATATCACAGGTGTTTAGTGACCACATGACCTTTACTGTTAGTACATACACACTAGTGAAATTGTGATGTTGTTGCCATAGGCTATGTTTTAACCTATTGTTACAGCCTATTGTTTGCATTATGTTTTTGCCAGTGTTCCCACTGTGCTTAAAATTTGATTGCTGGCTAGTTTTAAACTTTTATATTTTAAAAGTAAAGTTACTGTTTTGATTTTATGGTATGTCCCTGAATATTAAAATGATGTGCCACAGATAAGCCTGTTCATGAGAAATTGTAATGGAAATATTTTTTTTTCTCTCAGTAATAGTACTTAGGCCTATATGATTTTGATGCATTTAAAGCATCCACCACCAAGTAGTTAATGTATGATGAAACATATGTAGTTCATTTGGAATTTTCTCTATATTATTTGTATTTATTTGTTTTTTGAAGTTAATGTTAAAATTTAATTTAATATGCTTTGTTTCAGGATGGCTTGGGTTAGGGCAGTGTGGCAGGAAAGGAAAAGGCAAGAAGAAGGGACGGTGCCAGACAGCTGGGTAGACACCAAAAACATGATGCTGTTCTGGCCAAATATCGCAAATGCAACTAGACATTTGAAGGAACGTCGCAAACCAACTGAGGGTTGGAGAAAGTTTCCTCTTATCAAAGAGAAGATGAGATCTGGTGGGTACACTTACATGTCACATCTATTATGTGTCTTTTGTCATATGGAAGTAGCTTTTTGCTTTGCATGTGTTAATTGTTGTTTATGATTTGTAGATGACTTCAATGAATGTGAAAACTGCGACTTCACCAGTGGTACTGAAACTGAAGAAGGGGCACTGGAAGCAAAGAGAAGAAGAAAAAATAAGACATTTGAAGATTGTGTGACAGGTATTCTTTTAACTTTTAATTTTTTTTAACTATTCTTTATTCTTTTGTACTTTGTCATTCACTGTTAAAGGTATTAATTTATTAATCAACCAATTCTTGCCTCTTAAAGTAGTGATTCATGCATATCTTTTCAGATTTTTTCACTATGCTATCAAGAGTAAGCGATGTCAAATTTGGTGTCACCATAAAACAAAGCCACAATAAGGAAATAATGACAGTTTGATATTGTGAAGTGAATTGGGTAGATTGATATTAAATTTAATAGGCATTCACACTCCTCTGCTATTAAACTTGTAAAGTTTGGTCATTAGATTACCATGCTGTTGCAGAGAGAATTTCTGTAACTGACTCTGATTATCTAAATATGCCTAGATCGCACTTCATCTGTAGTAGTGTAATAATAATAATAATTTGTTACATTTATATAGCGGTTTTTCATGGATCTTAAAGCGCTTTACGTGGAAGGGGGAATCTCCTCAACCACCACCAATGTGGCCAGAACGCCCACCACACACCAGCTTAATGGTTGAGAGGAGACCGTGATGAAGCCAAGTATATATATATATATATATATATATATATATATATATATATATATATATACTGTATATATATATATATATGTATCTGGGGATGATTAGGAGGCCATGATGGACAGAGGCCAAGGGGCAAATTTGGCCAGGATGCTGGGGTTACACCCTACTCATTATGGGGTTTTAATGACCACAGAGAGTCAAGACCTCGGTTTAACGTCTCATCCGAAGGATGGTGTTTTTTGTGTTTTTTGACAGTATAGTGTCCCCATCACTATACTGGGGCATTAGGACCCACCCCTTTCTGGCCTCACTAACACCTCTTCCAGAAGTAACCTGGTTTTCTCAGAAGGTCTCCCATCCAGGTACTAACCAGGCTCAAACCTGCTTAGCTTCAGTGGGCAGCCAGTCTTGGGCTATAGGGTGATATGGCTGTTGGCATGTAAACTTTGATAAATATTTAACGACTGTTAAAGATGTCTGAAATCTTTAACATCCTCATTCACTTTTCGACTTTTTCTTTCCCTGCTTCCTCCAACGTACTTCCTGGTAGAAGCAATTTAAAGGATGCATGCATAATTGTACACACCTACATCTCTTCTATCACAACTGCCTTCCTTTCATGCACTGCACCAGCACAGTCAATGAAAACCGCACCTTCTTTCTTTCTTTCTTTCTGGAGCAGAATAATTTTTTTTGTTAATTTGTGTCTTGAACTAGATGATGGTGGTCACAGTGAGGTAGAATTGGATCAAGAAGACCTCCAAGGAAATTGTCAACATCTCAACAGTGATGAAGGTTAGTTATTTGTTTTCTCCCCTGTAATAGGGAGACTACTTGTCATGAGGATATAAGAACAGCAACAACAAAAAAGTGACAAACTATCTACTAGGGGTGGAACGGTATACAGAAGTCACGGTTCGGTTCAGACTTCACGGTTCGGTACAATGAAGGGAAAAGCAAAAAATACAGAAGGCATTGTATTTATTTATTTTTTTTAAATAAGTTAAATAAAGGCATAGAACCAGTTTATTTGTAGTGCACTGACAATAGTTTTATATAATTAGTATATTAATTAAATGAATAAAAAGACAAAAAGTCCTCGCGATATTTTTTTAAATTGTACCTGAATTAATTTAAAATTATTTTTCTATATTTCAGATCAATATATTTGATTTCCTTAATTTTAATTAACAATGTAACATTATTCTCATCTGAATTATAACTAATTTATTTCTGTATAAAATAATACTACCATTAAAAACACATTCGATTTTCTTTTTTTAATCAATGCAGAATGTGTAAGATTAGTGCTCAGAGGACAAGAAATTAAAACCAATGCAATATGTAGTTGTAGGTTACAGTTTGTCAAGAGTTTAAAGTGTGACAAAAGCACAATGTTGTGTTTTATTGCGAGTGTACAGAAATAGAAGAACAGTTTTTATGTTTCCACTGTTCTATCGCGCCTCCCTCTCTCTCACACACACACACACACACACACACACACACACACACACCAGCATTGCAATCTTGACATCGCAGCCTGTTCATTATGCGGTCAAACCAAACGCTAATAGAGCGCCAAATTTGCGTCTATCGCGTGTAGTTCAACGCTAGTCCAAAGCGAATAGGACATGCGTATAGAGCCAACGTTTGAAGTGAACGCGCGTTCAGAGCTAGCCGATGGTACAGATTATGTGTCCCTAAAGAACCCACGTTCTACAGTAGTTCCGCATTACATTTATTAAAGTAAAACTCCGGCGAACAATGAACCTTTGGTCTAATAAAACATCGGTACCTAGTCAATCATTCTCTGAGTTTTGTTTTCATGATAATCGAATGTAAAGAGTTTTATTTCTAAAAACTGTTTAGCGTATAATGCTAGTAATGGGGGCATTGAGTAAGTAAAAATAAATCGCTAGTTTATACCACTAACACGGCTCAAAATAGCTCCACACTCGCACAGTAACATAATGAGGCTCCATACATGCAAAACGAAGCATTGAGAACTTTGTAAGTGTACAGACCGTTTAATAAGAAGATACTTTATGTATTAAGTAATATGTAATAATATGTAACTTTATGTATTTATGTAATAAGAAGATACTCAATTTGCTCCCCGAACGCCGTTTATACAGTTCAGAAGTTCGTTGAACTTCATAGAGTTCAGATCACTCAGCACAACGTTCGTGGATCGACTTATCGAGACTATTTTTTAAGATGGCTCCTGTCTGTATACGCGAAGTGAACTGTCTTCATAAAGTATCTTCTTATTAAACTGTCTGTACACTGTACACTTACAAAGTTCTCAATGCTTCGTTTTGCATGTACGGACCCTCATTATGTTACTGCGTTAGTGTGGGGCTATTTTGAGCCTTTTTAGTGGTATAAACTAGCGATTTCTTTTTACTTAGTCAATGCCCCCATTACTAGCATTATAAGTTACGCTAAACAGTTTTTAGAGATAACTCTTTACATTCAATTATCATGAAAACAAATCTCAGAGAACCAATGTTTTATTAGACCAAAGGTTCATTGTTCGCCGGAGTTTTCCTTTAATATGCACACGAGTTTTATTTATTTTTATATCGTGTATTCTCCATGTAAATTCGTGCATCGAACCGTGACGCCCGTACCATTTCGGTTCATTACGAATACATGTACCGTTCCACCCCTACTATCTACTACAGAATGTCAATTCCATTCAATTCAGATTGCTTTTTTTGGCATGAAAGGTTCAAGAACAATGTTGCCAGAGCATCAAAATACAATTTGTCAATTTTTTGACCGAACACAATAACAGTAAAGTGTTTCCCAGAGTAGATTATGTACCTTTATGCGTTACACACACCTGGGACCCACTCACACTAGCTGTGTCTTGATGCAAGTTAAAACGTTTAAACATTACTCAGAAAGACAGATGAGCTGTATGAAAATCTTACAACTGTGTTTTCCTCTGTTGCTGGAGTGGCTGCCTTGTTGGCTGCATTGGTCTGTGTGACGAGAGGGCTCTGTGAGCAAGCCCCGCCGCGACTTTCAAGCACATTTTTGTTCTACTGTCACTTTTTGTAAAACTGTCAATATTAGAATCTACACAAATGATTTCTCACCTCAAAAACTTCTCAGAAGTGGATTCAGTGATTAAATAACGTATGGAAATTTTAAAATATAAAACTTTCTGTTGCTGGCCTCTGTCCAGCATGCGCAATGATGATTTAGTGAATAGTGACGATTCTCACTGACCAATCAGTCACATTTACTGCCAGATCATTTCCTTCAGCTCAGGTTTACCATCACTTTCTGCTGCTCGGACAATCAAACACTCGCTACGCACCTCCCGATTCATTACAGGAGTTACGCTGCTCTTATAACAAAACCTGTCACTTGGATGTTTTGTGTAGAACGAGGAGAGGAAGCTAGCAAAGCATTGAGTGTTGCTGTGCTCGCACAGTGTGCAAGTGAAAACATTTGTAGCACACAGTGCAATGATTGTAGGAAATTTTAGTAGCATTGGTCATGATTCAGCTGCAGCACACCGCCGCTCCTGAATGCATATCGGGGAAGCACCGCCTAAACTGTACATATACTGCCAGATTGACAATTTACTGCTAACCTATGCCAATGTAGAAGTCCTTAGAAAAATGAGTGAGGCTAAGTGCTGCAGCTGAACGGACAAAAAAGGGAAACACTGCAGTAATATGAACATTAACACAACATTATGATTAGGGATGTCACGGTACCAAAATTCCATTAGTCGGTACCGATACCATTAAAATGTCACGGTTCTCGGTACCAATTTCGGTACCACAGCAAAATCAGTTTGAACTATTTTATTTAACTATTTGAAAAAATATATATATTAAATTCAATTCAATCACTTTATTATTTAAATTATGATGGTAAATTTATAAAAGCATTGAAGGCTACATGCTGTTTAAACGAAAATATTGATATTGAGAAATATTGCTAAAAAAAAATAAAGTGAAAAATAAGTAACCTTCTATGCACACATTATTATTATTATTATTAGTAGTAGTATTTTTAATTAATAGAGATGTAGTTAAATCTACAGTAGCCTAATATAATTATTTCTGTCAATTTCTTTAAAGGGTTAGTTCACCCAAAAATGAAAATTAAGTCATTAATTACTCACCCCCATGCTGTACCAACCCCGTAAGACCTTCGTTCGTCTTCGGAACACAAATGAAGATATTTTTGATTAAATTTGAGAGCTGTATAACTACCACATTGGCTCCTAAAAGGACTGCCTCTTGACGGCCCAAAAAGTCAATGAAGAAAATGTTTAAATATCCCAAGTGACTACCGTGGCTCAACTATATGTTTATCAAGCGACGCGAATACTTTTTGTGCGAAAAAACAAACAAAAATAACGAGTTTATTCGACTATTTCTTTTCTTCCTTGTAGGCCAGAACGAGACTTCCTTATAGATTTCCACGACGCATGCGCGAGAATTGCGATCTGAAGTAGTGAAGGCTGGTGTGAGCAGATCGCAAATCTCGCGCATGCGTCGTGGAAATCTAAGGAATTCTCGTTCTGGCCTACAAGGAAGAAAAGAAATAGTCGAATAAACTCGTTATTTTTGTTTGTTTTTTCGCACAAAAAGTATTCGCGTCGCTTGATAAACATATAGTTGAGCCACGGTAGTCACTTGGGATATTTAAACATTTTCTTCATTGACTTTTTGGGCCGTCAAGAGGCAGTCCTTTAGGAGCCAATGTGGTAGTTATACAGCTCTCAAATTTAATCAAAAATATCTTCATTTGTGTTCCGAAGACGAACGAAGGTCTTACGGGGTTGGTACAGCATGGGGGTGAGTAATTAATGACTTAATTTTCATTTTTGGGTGAACTAACCCTTTAAGTTAAACCAAACTTTTTTTTGACGGGTTGCCGTGAAGACCTTTTGAGTTTCTGTGCGAGTATGATATGACTATTTTTCTCAAATGAAACGGAAAAAATGCTCATGAAGTGACTCTCGGAGATGAATGTGTGTCTGTGAGGTAGCGTTAGATGAAACCGCGCGTCTGCACCGTTCATTCACACAAGGACAAGCAGAACATGCAGGGTTCATATTTAAATAGTCCTTTTGCAGTTTAATATACACAGACGTCACATCAGCAGTGCCGCCGGTCGCCATGTCTCAGCGCTTTCATGAAGAGGACGCAACTTCACGCCCTTCGTGCATGCATGCACATCCAGAACCGGGTTTGACCGGGTATTCAGTACCACCAAGACTTGGTACCGTGACGTTTAAATTTTTTTAGTACCAACTTGGTACCGAAGTACCAAATATTTTGACAACACTAATTATCATATATATACACACACTCACATTGTGTGTTAATGCATGCTTGTGCTGTGTGTGTCTAGGTGGTCATGTATTATCTTTACTTTTATTAACAGAGCTAGAACTTCCTGCTGCTCCAAGGAAGCTTCACGTTCAAGAGCGAGAGTCACCAATAAGGTCCGAACGTGCAAGCTCGCCATCATCATCATCTACGTCATCCACGCAATCAAGCTCTGGCTCTGTCATTCCACCATCAACCTCCTCCAGGCGATCAAGCTGTGGGTCTACAGTTATTCCGCTCATTCGGGGAAAGCAGATGTCTAAAACTAAAAATGATTCTTCAGGTCCCAATTTACTCTTAAATTCACTTTTATAAATATTTTACCTTCAAGTGATAGTTTGGGTTCATACATCTATACAAATGTAATTGATCCACTAAGTCTGAGCTCCTTCTCTTTAATGAGAGCTTCCCAGTGGGTGTGCTCCTCCAAATAAATTAAAGTAAATTTGGACTAGCAAACAACACAAGAGGTTAACAATCAATCCTGAAGTAATGTGTAGTTTTGTGCAACCTTCAAAAGATTTTTTTCAGCTTTGGGTTGTATTTTAAGTAATTGTTGGCAGGTTTATATTCACTTACCTAGTAGAAGAACATTGCCACTTGTTCTTGCTACAGGGGCTGATGGGTCACACTTGGAGGAGTTATGATCGAGGATACACGGGTGTATCCTATGCGGAAGAGTTTTACTGACTAAACGTGACGCACGTATCAATTCTCCTCCCCCTTCACGTCGGTCAAAATCATTTTAATTTATACTTTACCCTTGCAGTTTATATAAACCATACATCTCACATATTTCAACGGGCTTTCTTGCTTAATTATTCTACATCCTACAGGGGGTGGAGCTGAGATGCGAGGAAAGTAAATGAGGATGCAAAAATAAGAATTGAGAATAACCCCATTACTCTTACTCTTCTTGTAGTGCTCCAGCAAATTCAAGAGCCCACACCAGAAATGCCAACCAGACCACAAATTCAAAAAAGCCTGTCGCAACAAGAACATCAACAACAACGTAGAAGATCCCCTGTTCAGCAAGGTACTCAAGGGACCAGCTCCAGACAACAACCTCCAACACAGGGAAAACGCTGCCCATACCCAATGCCAGAAAAAAGTAAGTATTATATGAAAAAAAATAAAAATAACGGCTTATTTTACTAATCAAGAGCAAACTATAATATCACAGAAATTATGAAGAATTTAAACACATAATCCAGTCTAAAGGCTACACAGTTGCAGCTGCCAAAAATAGGAAGGACAGTTGGCAAAAAATCACAGAATGTGTGTGGTAAATGGCTTGCATTTATAGATCACTTTTATCCAAAGCCCTGTCCAAAGACATGCAGGCTAGGTTAATTGTTGATTCTTAAATTGACCTTCGTTGTTAATGTGTGTGATTGTCATGTCAGCTGGGATTGGCTCAAGCCAAGCAGCATAAGTTACTGTGGTGACATACCCCTGTAAGAAATGAACCACCTGTAGGACTATCTTGCTAATCCCAAATCCTGCGTAGTACAGGCCCCAGGTATATTAATTTTTTTTTTAATTGAAAAAAAAAAAAAACTACACTCGTTACTGTATGTTGTGCAATAAAAAACAAGTAAAAGGCCAGAAAGAGTATTTTATCAAACTGAAAAAATAATTAATAATGGATTTTTTTTTTTTGCACTGCATTAGAATTTCAGAGAAAAGTGATGCAAATGCTAGTGGAAATGCGTGAGGATATCCGCTCATTAAAGAAACGAGATGTAGAAAACTTTGAAGCATCTCAAGTTCAACAAGTTCCAACCGTTGAGGCTCTAAACCTCCTTGATGGATCCCTCGACTCCCTGGAGGAAAAACAGAAGCTGGTAAAGTAAACTCTAGTCAAACCAGCATAATTATACCTATTTTTCTCTCATGTGTAATGTGTCACTGTTAACTTTTTTTTTTTCGTTTGTTGGTAAAACTGAAATATTGTTCCTCTAATTTCAGATTAATACCTTGTCCAAGGTGGGAGGAGTCCACCTGAAAGATAATGTAAAAAGGGTCATGGAGAAGTAAGTTTTATATCTCAGTTTCAATTAGATGTCAGTTACTCGTAGCACCGATATAATAGAGTAGAATAGATATTGTATAGGGGACTTGACTGTTGCCACTGGGCCAACTGGCAGCCTTCTTTATGGATCTGCAAGTCACAGTGTTCAGTTCATAGCCCGGTTTAGAAGTCACAATTGGGTATGAGTTTCGTACATAATTAAAATTATTAAAAGTTTAATTTTCAAAGATGAAATGAACAAAATTTATGTTTGCATTGCACCAGATTTCCTCACATTAACAGCCATGTGTGGCGAGTTAGACATCAATTTAAAAGGATAGTTAACCCAAAAAGAAAAATTCTATCATCGTTTACTCACCCTCAAGTTGTTCCAAACCTCTGTGTTAATTTGTTCTGCTGTACACAAAGGAAGATATTTGGAAGAATGTTTTAATCAAACCGATCTCAATCCCCATTGACTACCATGGTATGTATTTTTTCTAAGAGGTCTGCTTATAATATGCTACATGTTTTAGTTAACGCATTTGTTTTTGACAAAGAATTTAAAAGTTCAACTATTTGCAAATTTAAATAATTTTTCTTTTGTATCCACAGGTTGATGACAAATGAAGTTATGTCCAACTTTAATATGAAGGGCGGGAAGGGCAAGCTTGCCTTCACTAAGCTCCGGCTCTTCACTGTTGTTACAGGTAAAAAGCATATATCCTCAGTGTTGTGTAGTGTCTATTTTAAGGGTTTAGTGAAAATCAGTATCCGCATTTGCCATCTATTAACAACCAGGCCGCTACCTGCAAGAAATGTCAGATTTTCTTTGTATTAAATTATTTTTTACTGTAAACATGCTGGAAAGATGTCTTTTATTTTTATTTATTTTTTTTTAAAAACAAAGAAACTTGCTGGCATTCAGTTTTTTTTTTCTGCCAATATGTAGCAAGCTGCAGCTTGCAGTTTAAGAACACCATTGAAATGGTTTTAAGACATGTACATGCAAAAAATGCATAGCCCTTGAGAATGTCTGCATTTTAATGTTTATTACTGCTCACTATATTCTATTTGCCCCAAAGATTTACAGTTTAAAATATTCCTTACAGAGAGTGTCCAGAGGACGACTGGTGAAACGGAGGCAAACATTGCAGCGGCTGTCACCTTCTGTTTAAAATATGCCCCAGACAGGGTGGGAGGAGGTGGCAGAAAAAAAGTTTCTGAAGTTTAATTTTTTTTTTTTTTACTTTACAAGTGGGGTCTGAGTTCCAGACACTTATTTGAGTTTTGTTCATTTAGTTTATCTTTCATTTTTCAAATATGCCTGCAAGTTATTTGAGTTTTGTTCATTTAGTTTATCTTTAATTGTTCAAACATGCCTGCCAGTTATTTGAGTTTTGTTCATTTAGTTTGTCTTTCATTTTTCAAACATGCCTGCATGTTAGCATTAAATACTATACATTTCAAGGAGCAGAAGGAAATTCTTTAAAAACCACAAGTTTTACAATAAAGTTATTTTCTTAACTCATTGAATGTCTTATTGAGTATGAATGTATTGTTGATGAATGAATGTATTATTATTATTTATTTATTTATTTGCTGGAATTTGACGTTAACACGATTTTCATTTCCGACTATCCTATGTGTTCTATGTTTGAGGTTGATGTCAATCCAACGTTGGGTTTGACTTCAACACGATTTTTAGTCCCAACTAAAATCTAACATCTGTCCAACTTTGGAAGATGATGTCAATCCAACATTGGGTTTTGACCTCTACAATTTTCATTTCCAACTAAAATACAACGTCCATCTAACATTGGAGGTTGATGTCAATCTAATGTTGGGTTTTGACGTTAACACATTTTTCATTTCCAACAACAATCAAACGTCAATCTAACGTTGTAGTTTATCAATCAAACGTAAAGTTTTGACGTTAACACGATTTTCATTTCCAACTAAAATCTAACATCTGTCTAACGTTGTAGGTTGATGTCAATTCAACGTTGAAAGTTGATGTCAATACGACTTTAATTTCCAACAACAATCCAACATCCATCTAACGTTGGGGGTTGATGTCAATCTAACGTTGGGTTTTGGCGTTAACACGAATTTCATTTCCAACAACAATCCAACGTCTGTCTAACGTTGTAGGTTGATGTCAACCAAACGTTGGGTTTTGGCGTTAACATGATTTTCATTCCCAACAACAATCCAACGTCCATATAACATTGTAGTTTGATGTCAATATAACGTTGGGTTTTGCCGTTAACACGATTTTCATTCCCAACAACAATCCAACATCCATATAACGTTGTAGGTTGATGTCAATATAACGTTGGGTTTTGCCGTCAACCCGATTTTCATATACAACTAAAATCAAACGTCCGTCTAACGTTGCAGGTTGATGTCAACCAAACGTTGGGTTTTGACGTTAACACGATTTTCATTTCCAACAACAATCCAACGTTCATATAACGTTGTAGGTTGATGTCAATATAACGTTGGGTTTTGCCGTCAACCCGATTTTCATATCCAACTAAAATCAAACGTCTGTCTAACGTTGTAGGTTGATGTCAACCAAACGTTGTGTTTTGACGTTAACACGATTTCCATATCCAACTAAAATCAAACGTCTGTCTAACGTTGTAGGTTGATGTCAATATAACGTTGGGTTTTGCCGTCAACCCGATTTTCATATCCAACTAAAATCAAACGTCTGTCTAACGTTGTAGGTTGATGTCAACCAAACGTTGTGTTTTGACGTTAACACGATTTCCATATCCAACTAAAATCAAACGTCTGTCTAACGTTGTAGGTTGATGTCAATATAACGTTGGGTTTTGCCGTCAACCCGATTTTCATATCCAACTAAAATCAAACGTCTGTCTAACGTTGTAGGTTGATGTCAACCAAACGTTGGGTTTTGACGTTAACACGATTTCCATATCCAACTAAAATCAAACGTCTGTCTAACGTTGTAGGTTGATGTCAATATAACGTTGGGTTTTGCCGTCAACCCGATTTTCATATCCAACTAAAATCAAACGTCTGTCTAACGTTGTAGGTTGATGTCAACCAAACGTTGGGTTTTGACGTTAACACGATTTCCATATCCAACTAAAATCAAACGTCTGTCTAACGTTGTAGGTTGATGTCAATATAACGTTGGGTTTTGCCGTCAACCCGATTTTCATATCCAACTAAAATCAAACGTCTGTCTAACGTTGTAGGTTGATGTCAACCAAACGTTGGGTTTTGACGTTAACACGATTTCCATATCCAACTAAAATCAAACGTCTGTCTAACGTTGTAGGTTGATGTCAATATAACGTTGGGTTTTGCCGTCAACCCGATTTTCATATCCAACTAAAATCAAACGTCTGTCCAACGTTGGAGTCCAACGTCAAAATGATGTTGAACTGACGTCCGGTGCCTGCTGGGTGATGTCATACACCAATCGTCTGTACTCTGTACATTGCTGCTTCAAGATCATACTGTTTGCTTTCGAATCAGTACTGTGATGTCATACACCAATCGTCTGTACTCTGTACAGTGCTGCTTCAAGATCATACTGTATGCTTTCAAATCAGTACTGTGATGTCATACACCAATCGTCTGTACTCTGTACAGTGCTGCTTCAAGATCATACTGTATGCTTTCGAATCAGGACTGTGATGTCATAAACCAATCGTCTGTAGGGGAGACCCGGGGCAATTGTAACGTATTTTCCTTAATAACTCACAAACTACTTGAGATAGACTAGTCATCTTTTGATACAAGAAACATATATATGTGCACTAATTAATAATACAAGTTATATATTTTTACTTATAAGAACAAGACTAAAATATTCAATTAAATGCAGTGTGGGGGCAATTGTAACACTGAGAAATAACTCCTATTAACCCACTTTATCTCAAATAAAAGCCTACCTCAAAGTAATCACTTTACTGCTGTTAATTTTAAGAGTTTATATAATATTCCCACTTTGTCAAGCACATATAAAACACACATTATTTTATATAAAAAATGTTAATTGATGATTTGTTAATACTGGAACAAACATTTATTTTAATACACCCTTTTAAAATGAAGTTTTACAATAGAATTTAGTGAAATATGTTCATTTTTTTAACAGAAAAGTATGTCAACACACAAACAAGCTTATTACAATGGGCCTTGTGGCTCGGGGGCAACTGTAACACAGTGTTACAGTGTTGTTCATGTTCGTTTTTAATCAATAACCTAGGGATAAAATGTATACAAGTTTAAATTGACAGACATCTAAACTTTAGACAGCAGAAGAAAAATACTGTAGGCTACATCCAAAAAATAACTTTCACACCTTAAAATCAGTTTGTCGTTAATAACTTCTGCTAAATTTGAAAATGTCACGCTTCTTTTCCACAGATAGAGAGAGAATCCTATTGGGCATGTACAGATTAAGTGTCATCACTCTAGCTTGTTTCTGATTGGAGGAATTGAGTGTGGTACAATTGCCCCCTGTTACAATTGCCCCCGGTCTCCCCAGTGCTTCGTCAAGGTGATCAAAGTACACTGCATGCTTTCGAATCAGTACTGTGATGTCATACACCCAGGGATGTAGTGGAGGCTAAATGCACAAATGCCGTTTACGCACCTCCCAATATTCGGGAATTGCGTTTACCCACCTCCAAAGTGCGTTTATCCACCTTTCAATTGCGTTTATCCACCTCCAAATATCCTAGTTCCTAAGACATTTTAAATTAAGCTTATGTCGTTTTAATTTTATATTGTCCACACTCTAAAAAATGATGAGTTGGATTTACTTAAAATATATATGCACCATTTTTGTATCAAAAAATGTGCACATATCTTTTAAGTAAATCCAACACAGTGCAGGCCATGTGAGATCAAAATAAATCTTAGTTCTGTTAACTTAAAATTTAAGCTCATTTATATATATAAAATAAGACAATTAAATCAGTTGAACCAACCATTTTAACTTAGTTATAGATCTTCAGCTTACATGTCTTAAAATAAATAACATGCAAATCACACACAATAAAGCATTTCACTTTATTATTTATTTAAATTGCATCTTAAAATATATTCAAATAGAAAATAGTTGTTAAAATAATAATAATAATATAGTCACAATATTACAGTTTTTCTTGGATCAAAGAAATGAAGGCTTGGTGGGCAGAAGAGACTTATTTTAAAAATATTAAACAATCTTAGTGTGTGTGTGTCTATATATATAATTATATATATATATATATATATATATATATATATATATATATATATATATATATATATATATATATATATATATATTATTTTTTTCAAAAACCAATAAAAAAAACAATTAAATGCAACAAATTAGTACATTATTAAATGCCTATAAATATAAAAAAAATAGTCTATTAAATAATATCTATTAATTTAAACAAAACAGAAGTTAATTAATGACTTTCCTCCAGAGGTTATGAACGAATCTCTTCAAAAAACATTTTAGCAGTAACTACTGGAAAACAGTAAAGATCTACAATCTTTATTTGAAGCTAAAGTTTTGTTTAAAGGGTATTTACTTATTTTGATAATAATTTTGAAGGTTTAATTTACTGAATTAACGCTGTCATTTAGGAATAATATTGTGCTAGAATCAAGATTGCCATTATTTAATGATAAATCGTGCACACACGGAGCTGTAGGCAATGTGCTTTCGAATTTAATATTTGTATGTTAACGTTACCAAAAGTAGGCTAACCCGCGCCCAAGGCCCCCTTTCCCGCGATCCATGTAGGCCTATAGACAATAGAGATAGAGAACATGGGAATTTGTAAGTATGCAAAGTATATTAGTTTTATCCAAAAACAACTCGCTAATAAAGTAGGACTATAATCTATCCGTGGGGGAGAGAGAGCGCAGTCCGAATTGGTCACACCGAACGCGTCAAACACGTCAAGTCTAGTTAGACGCTTGAATCTTCTGCAGCCCGCTCAAGTTCAAAATTTTCTACTGAGAAAGACGTTCGCGGCAAACGAGTCACCCAATTCGCGACGCCCGGCGCGAATGATGCGTCTTCGCGTCTTTGCATTGACTATGAATGTACTCTGCTATCGCAATTAAATTCGCGTTCGGTGTGAACACACCATTAATGCATATACGAGCCAACATCATGGTCATATAGCCTATTTTGAAAAAACACAATATATAGCTACTCGCGTGCAAAACACTTATTTCATTCGTTAACATGTAGACTACAAATGTTTGCATTCGTAAGAAACGTTTCTAATTGTTGATGCAAAATTTGTAGCAATTCTGAAATTCAGTTAAAAGTAAATTTCTTGACCAAAAAATGCAAAAAATGATCATGTGTAGGCCTAAGTACAAAAATTAAGCTTACCGCTTCTCAACGTCTTCACATGTGTTTCATATTTTTTTTGTCTGGATAGGCATCACGGGAAATTGCATAGCCTATATCACGTGGCTCATACAGTTACTTAAACTGATATAATCGATTTACTTAATTTTGATGCAATTATTGTAGTAGTTGACATGCATTATGTTTTTTTATTATTTTATTTATGCATACATTTAAGTGCATCTAGTAGCTTATATTTTTTGTTACACACATATGTTAAGTAAACGTTGAAAAGTTAGGAATACTTATTTTTTTTATGTTTGATCCAATTACTTTTATAAGTATTGGTTGTTCGGCTGCTTCAAGATCATACATGCTTTCGAAACAGTACTGTGATGTCATACACACCAATCGTCTGTACTCTGTATAGTGCTGCTTCTAGTTGATCACTGTATATTTTCGAATCAGTACTGTGATGTCATACCCAGGGATGTAGTGGAGGTTAAATGCACGTAAATGCCATTTACCCACCTCCCAATATTCGGGAATTGCGTTTGCACCTCCAAAGTGCGTTTATCCACCTTTCAATTACGTTTATCCACCTCTAAATATCCAGTAGTTCCTAAGACATTTTAAATTAAGCGTATGTCGTTTTAGTTTCATATTGTCCACACTCTAAAAAATGATGAGTTGGATTTACTTGAAATATATATGCACCATTTTTGTATCAAAAAATGTGCACATATCTTTTAAGTAAATCCAACACAGTGCAGGCCATGTGAGATCAAAATAAATCTTAGTTCTGTTAACTTAAAATTTAAGCTCATTTATATATATAAAATAAGACAATTAAATCAGTTGAACCAACCATTTTAACTTAGTTTAGATCTTCAGCTTACATGTCTTAAAATAAATAACATGCAAATCACACACAATAAAGCATTTCACTTTATTATTTATTTAAATTGCATCTTAAAATATATTCAAATAGAAAATAGTTGTTAAAATAATAATAATAATATAGTCACAATATTACAGTTTTTCTTGGATCAAAGAAATGAAGGCTTGGTGGGCAGAAGAGACTTCTTTTAAAAATATTAAACAATCTTAGTGTGTGTGTGTGTGTGTGTGTGTGTGTGTGTGTGTGTGTGTGTGTGTATATATATATATATATATATATATATATATATTCTTTTTTCAAAAACCAATAAAAAAAACAATTAAATGCAACAAATTAGTCCATTATTAAATGCCTATAAATATAAAAAAAATAGTCTATTAAATAATATCTATTAATTTAAACAAAACAGAAGTTAATTAATGACTTTCCTCCAGAGGTTATGAACGAATCTCTTCAAAAACATTTTAGCAGTAACTACTGGAAAACAGTAAAGATCTACAATCTTTATTTGAAGCTAAAGTTTTGTTTAAAGGGTATTTACTTATTTTGATAATAATTTTGAAGGTTTAATTTACTGAATTAACGCTGTCATTTAGGAATAATATTGTGCTAGAATCAATATTGCCATTATTTAATGATAAATCGTGCACACACGGAGCTGTAGGCAATGTGCTTTCGAATTTAATATTTGTATGTTAACGTTACCAAAAGTAGGCTAACCCGCGCCCAAGGCCCCCTTTCCCGCGATCCATGTAGGCCTATAGACAATAGAGATAGAGAACATGGGAATTTGTACACTGCATGAAAATAGGTGTATCCGGACCAGTATACTCCTGTATACACTGCTGAAATTCGGAAGAATCCAGGAGTATAGTGGCCGGATATGTCAAATTCCATGGGTTTGTATATATCCGCATACATCCGGAATGATACCAAATCGGATGTATGTTGTGGACGTATACTTCCGTGCTAGAGCCATTTGTTGCCATGGCAAGTAATCCCATTAAAGTTTTTAGCAGGAAAAAATCACACCTTTTTGCAGGAAACATTCACACCTTTTTGCCTTCCAACCAAACTGGATTGGTTGTTCTTTTAAAGCCACTCCCAACACCCAGACCACTATTGGAGGGCAGGACACATTGAAAACCCAGTAAACGGACTTTATTGGTTACTTTTAAACATAGCCCACCCTAGGCCTTGTAGCATACTGATTTGATTGGTTATATACCAGCTATGCAGATATTGCTCAAATATATACCAAACCTCCCTCCCCCAATTTTAATATATTCATTAAAATAAATTTGATATATATATATATATATATATATATATATATATATATATATATATATATATATATATATATATTTATATTTATATTTAAACACACAAAGAACAATGGGAAAGTCTGAAATTTTTATTAAGGTATATAACACATTCCAAATAGCATTATAAACAAGCATTACAGAGGAATTGGGAACAAAAACTAGAAAAAAAAGTATGAAGTAATAACATCTCAAAGGAAGAAAAAAAATCATGGACATTCCAAAGAAAATTATAAACATACATTAAATAAATTGTTAACTTTTTATTTTCGTTAATTTTTTTTTACCCAATCATTTTAAAGGACAGATGTAAAGGAATAAAGTACACAGTGTATATAAAAAGTTACATATATATATATAAAATATATGAAGAGTTCCATTTGAAATTTTCTCCTTTAATGATGATTTTTATCAAACTTGTATATTTAAGTAATTTCTCTTAAATGGCAATGATAATTGCCTATTAATTGTTATTTAAGTGAAATTACTAAACTTAAATATACAAGTTTGATAAAAATCATCATTAAAGGAGAAAATTTCAAATGGCATTTAGAGGCTTTTGCATCTGAACTCTTCATATATATATATATATATATATAAAATATACGTAGATATTCCAAGTAAACAATATAAATAAATAGAACATTACAGAGAGTGCATTATAAACATACATTAAAATGCAAACAAGTAAACAAAATGGAGATAAGCAACATGGACAACAAAAAAAGGAACAAATATATGAAATAATACGAGAAAAATAAATAAGAAATTAAAGTGTATATAAAATATTCAAGGTGTACACTGCCGTTTATAAGTTTGGGATCGGTAAGAAGTCTCATATGCTCGCCAAGGCTGCTTTTTTTTTATATATATATAAAAAATACAAAAAAAGTAAGAGTAATATTGTTAAATATTATGACAATTTAAAATAAACGTTTCTATTGGAATACATTATTCTTGTGATCAAAGATGAATTTTTAGCATCATTACTCCAGTCTTCAGTGTCACATGATCCTTCAGAAATCATTCTAATGTGATGATTTGATGCTCAATAAATATTCATTATTATTACCAAAGTTGAAAACAGTTGTAGACTTTTTAGGATTATTTGATCAATAGAAAGTTATATTTCATTTATTTGAAATATGATGTTTTGTAACATTATAAATGTCTTTACTGTCACGTTTGATTCATTTAATGCATCCTTGCTGAATAAAAGTATTGAGTTAATTTGAGCTATCCCCCCAAACCAAAAAAAAAAATATCTTACCGACCCCCAAACTTTTGAACGGTTATATATATATATATATATATATATATATATATATATATATATTTATACGAGTTAACATTTTTCAAACTGCCATGATACGCTGGTGGTGTGACGCATAGTGTGGGTCAGCCTCTAGTCTGTTTTATAGTACCTAGCAGAGAGCAGATTGGTGGAGACCTCACCATTCACACTGGCCTTTCATCAACAATAGCATCATCTTCATCAGACATCAGTTCTATTGTTGCGGTCTTCCAAAGTTCCTTTTCTGTGTTGGTTTGTACAACCCCGGACCTGGTCTCCAGCAACTGAAAAACATGACAGTAACTTAACCACTAAAACACAGAGAGGAGGATAGTTACATTCTGAAGAGAAAAAAAAAGTGCTTAACCAGTTTCTTAACTTACCAGTCGCTTTCTCTGAAGGTTCTTTGCAATGCTCGTCATAGTTTTTCTTTTCTGGGCCTTTTCAGGCTGAGCCAAAGAATACTTCCTCCGCAAAGTCTCAAAATACATCTTCCAACCTGCTAAATATATCATAAATAAATGTAATGGCAATAAAAATAAGTAAAACAGAGGACAATAAAATGATTACAACATCTTTAAGATTACCTTTTACACATTCAGGGTCAACGTCTGTAAAAGTTGACCTTAATTCTTCGAAGAGGTAAGTGGTCACAGCCAGGTTATGTGATGAATTTATTCTGGGGGGGAAAGTTGCAGGTATCATTACTGAAATTCACTTTTGGCATTCCAAATCCATAGAGTAGTAGATTAAACTAACATTTAGGCTATAGTATATAAGAAACAGTCTTACCTGGTTTGTGGAACGTATTTGTGTGGGTTGTTCTCTGAATTATGGAGGCGCCTTACAGATTCCTGTAAAGTTTGAAATTAAAAAGCAATTAAATTGATTCACAATCTTCAAGAACCACAAAACTGAATTTTCAGTTGGAATAAGCTGACCATCACAGTAACCGCAAGAGACAAAACAATAATTGTAACCGAACTATGGCTTACAGCCACGTTATAGAACAATAATTGGACTTACCGCAATGTTCACGTCATGTGCCTTTTTTATTCTTTTCGAAGCGTTGTAAGATTCTTCATGTAACGTTAGTCTGTGCTGCTCATACTTTCGCTAAAGAGCATCAAGACGCTGGAGAGTCTCTCTGAGAAGATCAGGTTGTGGCCAAAGACAGATTGATCCTCCCATTGTGATTCTGCATCACAGCTGTGGGGCATGTGGATGTGATCATCCTCATAGTTATCCACTGCATTACTGACTCTCATTGATGCATCTATGGAAATATTATAACCATAAACATGTTTTACATTAGTAGCTACTTAAAATAGATCATGGAGAATTCATTGATGATGGCACCCATAGTTACACAGAACAGTGTGTGAGAAAGATACATTAATTAAAAACGAAACAATACACAATCTCCTAACTCGCCATAAGTCAATATCAATATCTGAATGAGAGATGTAGCTAGCTGGCCTGCTAGCATCAGCAATCTCTGTATAGACCATTTCACAAGATGTAAACAACACTGGTCCAGAAGCACTTCCTGTTTCAGTTTTAACACTGTATAAACGTTGGGTTAAAGTACAACCAACAGAACAACTGAATCAAAAAGTTAAACAAACATATTCAAGATATTTTCTTTACATTTGAAATTAAGAAGCCTTTTACAAACTGAAACAGGAAGTGCATCTGGACCAGTGTTGTTTACATCTCGTAATGTGCAATAGCAGTAATGTGAGCTATTGTAAGACTAATGTAAGTTACCATACTATCTTGTACTACCGTGAATATTCATTCATTCATTCTTTCAGACTCTTAGGTCAATATCACAAAGTAAAATAAATAACATGTATATGTGGGCAATGGTAATCATGCAAGATTCATTGTATTTTGTTTACGGCTTGTTACTGATCTTAAAAGCATTCATAGAACGGACTTCACGAATCTAAAGTTAGGCAAACAAGCACATAACAGTTAGGCAAGTTAGCTTACCTGAATCTGACAATATTCAACACCCGGCGTGACTTCTTTATCGGAATATCGTAGCCGAGCCATTTCTGGGGTGTTCCTCAATCGGATTCCCGTCGCTCGCGGTTGAAAACGTAAAAATATTTTATCGGATGTGCCTTTCGTTTACACGGCGATGGCGTTTTTGAGGCTCAAAAAAGCAAAAAAAAGTGAAACCACCCTCCAGAGTGGAAATCTTAAATCTTACCCGTGTAAACGGTAAAAACGCAAAAGTTTGCTTGACGGTGAAACTTTTGTAGCCTACGCAGGCGCGTGGACTTGGTGTTGTGGTAGTATGCACTCCTAGCCGCCTGAAGTGCATACTACATTGAATTTCACACACTTTTGCGTCTCCATTTGCACGCGGATTTTCTCACACAAAACGCTCGTCTAAACGCAGAATAAAAAAAAAAAAAAAGATGACGCAACGCCACTTTTGCGTTTTCTCATCAGCAGGGTTCTCAAGTTTGAGCAAAAGCTTGGAGTGAGATCACACGCGGTTAGGGGAGGAGCCATAATGAAGCCCCGCCCCCAATTTTACCCATTGTTAATAATTAACCAGAACAAATTAAAATTATAACAATTAGTAAATCTGATAAATGACAGAGCAATTCATCACATCAAATACTCTTTAATGCAGTACTACAAATATAGCTAACCAAAAATATAACAAATTGCTCCAAACAGTTTCAAACAAATCTTTAAAAATTGCATTTTGATTTTTGAATGCGTCTTCTATCTAGACGAATGATTTATTGTGTGGTGGGACATTGAGAACAAATGGACAGATTAGAGTGCACCACCTCTTCCACTGTCTCCTCCTCTAATCTGGCAACCTTTTTGGGGGGCTTACCCTTTGGTGCCCAAAATGACAAAATATCTTTCTGCTTTTTTCCTGACATCTTTGAAAAATACAAATGCAACATTATGACAATGATTAAATATTACCCAGAGCAATCTGCTGTAATACATCCTTAATGTAACTAGAAAGACTATTAATATTACAGTATAATATAATTTAAAATAAAATCAGTAAATCTTCATTCCTTTCCATACCCACTAAGATTTCTCTTAGTTTCAGATAACGTACGATAGCCAAACTGAGCCTGGTTGCAAAGTAGTTGTAGAGTTTTTGACTGCATCAATAATAATGTACGATGGGCTACATATTAAATGTTCTAGCCCAAAAATGTTAGACGAGCTTCTTCCAACTTACCTTCTTCTCCATCACGACACATGTGTTCGCGCGATGTTGTTGGTTACCTAGTAACGAACGTACGGTGACCGAGGATGTTCCATCCATTTCCGTGTGTTCGCGCTACTGAATGACATGTCATGTATCGATCAGTGGTGCACGCAGCGCGCATATATGTTGCCTAGTAACGACCGCAATCTGGCGGAGATACGCGCTGGCGGCAGGAAACTTCACTTTGTTTGCCTGCGCCTCGTATACAACGTTAGAAAGCTTTCAGCCAGGACAACTTGGTTGGCATTGCCTTTTCAGCGTGAGAAATACATAGTGTGGCGTGTGAGCGTGTGAACCGGTCGAAATGCGTGTGTCTCACGGCCAATGCGTGAGACTTGAGAACCCTGAGAATCGTTTCCGTGTTTAGCCTCAGTTGGGCACTTTCAAGCCTATGCTTCCAAATGTAGTGCCTTTGTTACCGGTCTCAACAGTTAAGGATGAGATACAGCAACTGTATAAAATGACGAGAAACACATTAGTGTCTGCATGCGTTCTGGCGCTTTCTTTTAATGACTTTTTCCTTTTCAGGTGACAGGTAAGTATAACTCATTCAAAGCAGGTCATGTATACATAATTCAACTCACAGTATTTAAATGTTTACCCATTGAGTCAGCTTATGTAATATATTTGACCATTTCACTTCTATAGACCATTTCACAAGATGTAAACAACACTGGTCCAGAAGCACTTCCTGTTTCAGTTTTTTAACACTACATAAAAGCTGGGATAAAATACAACCAACAGAACATTTAAAACTGAATCAAAAAGTTAAACAAACATCTTTAAGATGTTTTCTTTACATGTGAAATAAAGAAAACAGTTACAAACTGAAACAGGAAGTGTTTCTGGACCAGTCTTGTTTACATCTTGTGAAATGGTCTATATTATACTAAGCAACTTCAATAACATCTGGATACAACTTTACATGTGTTTTCACTCAACACTTTCAAGTTTTGCTTTATCTATTTTATAGATATATTGAAGTTTTGAACAAAGAGAAATCAAGATACATTCTATGAAAAAAACAGAATAACTTTGATGGAATAAACAATCAATAATGATTAACAGTCTCACTTGATGTAGATTTGTTGTTTTTAACTTACTAGTGTACGTTTTTAAAGAAAAACATTTGAATTTCACTTTTCACATCAACAAAATGGTGTCACTAACACCATACAACACAGAATACAGTTCAAACCGTAAAATCTGTCGAAATTACACAGGAATTATAGTAGTTGTATAATTGCTTAAATTATCTTACTTGCACATTTCCTACGAACATCGTGAATTTGAACTGCTTACTCAGCTGGAGATTACATCGATGGAATCACACATCAAATAATCATCTGAACACTTACCATCAGTAAAACTGGATAAACAGAGTCTAAAAGCATTTATGAATGTCTCACGTATCACTACTGATCGATATTGATTCATACAAAACATTTTACCAACCTGTATAAAATGACGAGAAACACATTAGTGTCTGCATGCGTTCTGGCGCTTTCTTTTAATGACTTTGCCCTTTGACCAGAACGTCATTTCTCATCACTCTAGTGCAATGCGCCACCTACAGGCCTATTTCAGAATAAACTTAAATCTATATAACATTAACACAACCCTTTTTTTAGACTCTTGTAAATACTTAAACTGAAGACAGAGAGAGGAAAAAAAAATAATAATAATTTTGGGGTACCTATTATCATTCAATACCATTATCTTCCCCTGTAATACTTCCAGTCCGTCACACTCTCCCCTATTTTTTTTATGACTGCTGACATCAATACTAGGTCAGTCTATCTTCTCTCAGTCATTCATCTAACAAGTCCAGAAAGGTGTTGATTGCCACCAAGGAATTGCATTAACTACCTGGTAAGTCATTGGACTTCTCGGAATCATGTAAGGCTGGACTGCATTTAAGTGACTTTGCCTGTAAGTCGGTTGACCCAATATGTCATAAGTCAGCATTGCTTTTGGCTTTGCTTGTCTGTTTGATCTTCGCAACGTCTCTTGATCCTCCTCATCAACACTCTCACATTGCTCATTTTGCCTTACAGGTGATCCTTGGCTTGAAAGAGGTAACTCTTCTGGGCCATACCCGACAGTATCCTCTTCTTCTGGAACCTGCTCCTCGCCTTCTGCTTGATCGTCCTGTATGGTCACTGGTTCTGACAATGGAGTTGCAGAGGGGTAAAAGGATCTCGCCATCGGCCTTAACTGAGATCTCCTTCCAGTCTGGGTCTGTTGTAGTGGTTCAACATGGTCATGATTCCCTGCAGTCATGGGTAAGTACGGATAGTGCCATTGTTCATCCTCCGAGCTATCCTCTTCCTGATCCACACTTGGCTCTGTGACTTTCCTCTTAATCAGTTGTCTTTTCTTTACAGGTACATTTTGGGTGTGATCTTCAACAGGTAAATCGTTCACTGGTAGTAAGAGGTTTCTGTGTAATACTCGAATTGTCTTTTTACCAGTTTCAAGTTGGATCCTGTACACAGGTCCCTCTTTGATCCTCTCCACTACTCGGTGCACTTCCTTTTCCCAGTACGGACGAAGCTTGCCTGGACCTCCTCTCTCCGAAAGGTTCCTTACTAAAACCCGATCACCTGGCTGGAGAGGTACTCCTTTCACCTTCCTGTCATAGTACTTCTTTCCTTTAGTGGATGACTTTTGGCTATTTTCAGACGCAATCTTGTAAGCTTCTTGCATTCTGGATGCCCACTTCTCCGCAAACGTCAGGTGGCTTTGAGTCTCTTTTTTTGTTTTTAGGTCAAGCATCAGGTCAATGGGCAACCTGGGGGACCTCCCATACAGTAAAAAGAATGGTGAGTATCCAGTAGCTTCGTGTCTGGTGCAGTTATACACATGAACCAGCTGTGGAAGGTGTTCTTTCCAATCAGACTTTTTCTCTTCCTCCAGAGTCCGAAGCATTTGCAACAAGGTACGGTTTAGCCTTTCAACTGGGTTACCCTGTGGGTGGTAAGGAGTAGTCCTTGAATGCGAAATCCCTGCCAGTTGTTGCAGTGTCTGGAACAATTTATTTTCGAACTCCCGTCCCTGATCATGGTGCAGTCTCTCTGGATATCCGAAGCGTGGTATGAAATCCTGAAATATCTTCTCAGCTGCCGTTTTCCCTGATTTATTCTTTGTTGGATATGCCTGTGCGAAGCGCGTGAAATGATCCACCAGGACAAGTATGTATTCGTGCCCCCCTCTGCTTGGCTCCAAATGCAGATAATCAATGGAGACCAGTTCGAAGGGTGAACTGGTGGTAATCGAACCCATGGGTGCTCTCTCAGGCACATTCGGACGCTTCTGTTTGATACAGTTGCACTTTTTGATCACATAATCGTCAATTTCCTTCTGCATGAAAGGCCAGTAATATCTTTCACGTGCTAAATGGGTTACCTTGTCAGCACCAATGTGACCCATGTTGTCGTGAAGGTTCTTCAAGACAAATGGCTTCAGTTTTTCAGGTAGGACTAGCTGTTTCCAATTACCAGAGTGTCGGTACAAAATTCCATCCTCCACTACTAGCTTGTTCCACTCCTGAACCAAACGTCTGGTTCCTCTGGTCATGACCTTTTTCTCTGTGCTATTTGGGATCCAGCTGCATTCCTTAAGCTTGATCACTTCCTTAATACTTTTGTCGTCCTGTTGTGCAGCTCTGATATCCACCTGAGCTATTGGAGACACCACCTGCCCTTTCAACATTTCCTCTTCCCCATCACTTGCTGAGTAAAGAGTCAGTGAAGCCACCCACGGGACCTCTTCTTCAACGACAGCTTTACTCCCTTGCCACATAGCTGACACAACCTCAGATGGCATAGTCTCCGTGTAATCCCTCA